CCCTTGGCATCTGCATGTTTCTTCTGCGTGTCTTGGCTTTCAGCCATAGCGTCGCGTACTGACGCATTACGCTCAGTCTCAAAGAGACAAAGTCATCGACTTGCTTGCGAACCGCAGCAGGGCTGACATCAGCTAGCCGCTCGGCTATCCCTCCCCCACCAAGCCCTGAGCACTGCGTGGCGGCGTCAGTGGGACGCGAGGGTTAACCAAGCCGTTCACATAGAACGGAGTGTAGCCTGTCGAGGCGTGCACTGCATTATTTAATGCGAACTCAACGAGTGGGAGCATCTGGCTCCAGTGTTTTGGCGCCTCAGCGCATACGCTTCAAAGGGTATCCTCCACAAAGCGATTCACGCGTTCGGTTTGACCATCGGTCTGCGGATGGTCCGCCGTGGACATGTCCAAACGAGTGCCGAGCACTCTGAAGAGGGACGTCCAGAACTTCGCGGTGAAGCGCGGATCTCGATCCGAGACAGTTGCCTCAGGCAAGCCATGTTGGCGAAAGACTCGGTCTAAAAACAGCAAAGCTGTACCTTCACCATCAATGGTGTCCGGCACTGCCGCTAAATGAGCCATCTTGCTCAATCGGTCTACAAAGACCACTATACCTGTGTTTCCCGCCTTATCCTTGGGAAGGCCAAACACAAAGTCCATACTCATGGACTGCCAGCATCCCTTGGGGACAGGCAAACTCGCTAATGGCGCTGCCGTGCTCGGCGCGGACTTTGTCCGTTGACACGTCTCACACGTGCGTACATAGGTGCCGACCCACTTATACATCCAGTACATCGAGCTCACCGAGCCATAGGTCTTCTCCCGACCTAAGTGCCCGCCCACGGGCGTATCATGAACCTCATAGAGGATTCGATACTTTAGATCCTCATCATGAGGAACGACTACACGAGGGTTATCCTCAGCGTCGGTGCTGTAGTACAGCAGGCCGCCATCGAGTGAGTATCGATGCAGCCTCGCGTAAGCGCCCAGACAATTCCTTGTCAGAGTCTTTAAACTCTTCGCTCCCAAGAGCCCGTAGCAGCGCTACGCACATGTCGTCTTGTGCATACGCTCCGCGTATCAAGTCAGGCACTGACGATGTCACTGTCGTGACATGAGCTAACTCGTAGGTAGGAGAGAATGCGTCCTACTAGGAGTCCTAAAGTGTCCTATTGTCCTAAAACCTGGGATAAAAACTAGCAATTCGGCTCATAAAAACCCGATATTTAGGACAACACAATGAGTTTTAGGACGAAACAAGCCAGGGTCCGCGTGTCCTAATAGGACACTCGACAACTGGACACTCAGCTGTCCTATTAGGACAGACTGCAACTCAGACCACTGTCCTATTAGGACAACACCAAGCCCAACATGTACTGTCCTCAAAACATCCTCAACTGGCCTAGCTAGAAACAATAATCATCTTAACGCCCCTCTCTCCAAGAGCAGCCGACTCTTTGTTGTGCGCGAAAAGCACCTCAACGAAACTTTTCTACTTCAAAGTGTGTGACAATAGTTTTAAAGCGTTTCAAAGGATGACAGTCATTGAAGGTCATAATAGCCGCTAATAACGGTTGAGCGACTTCAACATACACATAGCAAACGACGGTTAATAATCAGAACGTAACGATATAGGGGGGCTCAAAAAGCAGCAAAGTACTCGCAAGGGCTACTTGGCTGCAAGTCGATCCGAAGACGCGGTTAGCAAGCGATGGGGGTCTTGGTTAGCGCGGCAGTGTGCTCGGCCTGGTTCGTCGAGTTGTCTAGCGTCGTCGGGGTGTCGACAACAGGTGCGTTTGTGGCAGGCGAGTCCGGGCTTGGAGCCGACGTCGATGAGCAGTTGGACGGCACGTAGACTACCAGGTCGGCCTTCAGGTTGGAACTGACACCGACCGGCAGTTGGC